TATTTTATGTTATAACCATCACCACAATTATAACAGCTTATAAAAAACTAAGATCACCTCAAGATTCTTGTCATGCGTACAGCAAAGGAATGGAATAAGTTGCCAGCATCTGTCTTTCCATCCGATTACAATGTCTTCAAGGCAAGAGTGAATAGGTTTTTGTTAAGTCAGTGCGCTTCACCATCTTAAGCTACATCACCACTTACCATCAGGTGGTATTGTAGCTAAGGACTGGCTTAAAAAAGTAAAAAAAAAACAGATAATGCCATAAACCTCAGTCCTGCCCCATCTTAATTGATCATCTTTATTTCAGATATTTTAAAAGGCTATAAATAAATACATTAGTCTTTTCTTACCTCTGGTTTCCTTCTCTCGGCTCTCCTTCTCCTCGGTTTTACTTCTGTAAATATAATAACAAGAAAATAAACAATTCACTCTTTCTTCCTTCTAGTAAAATGTATGTATATTCGTTGTCACCCCAGAGGCCTAAGATAGAATGACTCGTTACCAGTAAAAAGGATCATCGTTTCTATACACTCACCATAATACAAAACACAACAGCATTAAGATGTTATTTTATGCTGGAATTCTGTCTTCAGTCTTACCCGGTCAAGCCAGCTTTACCATAAGCATGTTTTACCACATGTAAACCGGAGTATTGCGGCATCGCGAAAGTCGACTATCAAAGGTCGACAGACCTACCTAAGGTCTGTTCATTGCTTGATAATAATGAGAGGTAGTCAATCAGTTAAAGCTCCCCCCACTTTTAATCCCTAAAGGCGTATACAATAAGTTCACACTGATCATGGAATACGAATTTAGCTTGATCCGAATAGCTAAAGGCAAAATATTCTGCTCTACTAGGATTATCTCGCCCTGCATTTAGCCTTGTCGAAGTATCAAAATTAACAGGTGATGCGGGCCGAGAGACATTCGAAAATTAGGTATTTGAAAAAAACTATCGCAGTCACTATGCGAGCGCGAGGTGCGATAAGGACAAAAACTATCGCAGTCACTATGCGAGCGCGAGGTGCGATAAGGACAAAAACTATCGCAGTCATTATGCGAGCGCGAGGTGCGATAAGGACAAAAACTATCGCAGTCACTGTGCGAGCGCGAGGTGCGATAAGGACAATTGCAGATACGACTGTATAGCCTATGTAAAAGGAATAATTCGAGGTTTGCTTCTCTAACATTTCCTCTTGCACTATTAGACCAATTTAAAAGATATTTCATAAACTGAATAAGATGGATATAATGCGTCCCTATGTTTTTATTTTTACAGTATTGGTTATCAAATCAGAACACTAAGCTTCTGTTGACAATGGCATAAATAGGCAAAATATTGAGTATTTTGTAAGGGTACTTATGATTACAAAGATAATATATCATCAAAAAGGAAAATATAGGGACATAGAAGAGGTTGATATTTATTTTACTGAAAAAAAAAAATCATTGCTATAAAGTCATAAACCCGAAAGAAAACAGGCGACAGCATTTGTATGAAGAAATTACCACCCGCATTTCCTCTTAAGGTGCGTTAGCTAGCACACTTGATGATGAAATGAAAATCAAAGCATTGTTATCAACCGACACATGGAATTCTGCTATGTTTGGGACAGCCTCGAAAATCTTTGTCTAATGTTACCAGTACAATAGTAAATTTTAAGTCATTAGAATTGTCACCAATAAACAGCCTAAGAAGCAAATCATGGGTTTTACACTCACCATATGAAGACTCATGTTGACATTTGGCTGGCGTTTGTGGAGAGCTGGAACTTTTCCTGAATAAGTATCAAGTTGGTAACTGAACCTACTATATCTGTAGATGATTAGGTACAGTTTCCTAAAATTGTAGCTTCTCTATAGTTGATATTAAAAGTAACAACGTTTTACTCTACACGGTACGTTAGTCTAAGTTATTTAAATTTCACGCAAGCTAATTATACTTTTTTGCATATGATTAGAAGCTCCATTGTCTGCCACGACAACGAAAATATTGATCAAACTGTATTGTTAAACTCACTTAGAGTTTGTTTGTTAGAATGGATTTAATTTTGTTGAGATTTCTTAAAGCATTCATAACGTAGGTACTTATTATTTGGTTCGTTTTAGAGTTTAATTGATTCTATCGTGCAGTGATGGTGTAAGGATATCTACTATCCCGTCGCATCGGTGTCATAAGAGGTAACAAAGGGAAGTAGACTAAGGGATGAGCAGCTATAATATAACTTCTTGAAAATAACTCACATTAATAAAAATGAAACCGGCCAAGTGCGAGTCGGACTTCCGTATTATAGTACAAGATTTAATACTATGTGCGTAGGTACTATATAGGTAGAATATAGCGAAACAAACTCTGTGGGCATATCAAGCGCCTACTTGTTGCCATTATTAAGATTAAAAAACATGCTTCTAGTAGGGGGCTCCCCTTTAAATTTTTTTCGGGTCGTGAGATACAGTTCGCTGACAAACAGTACGGACGAACGAATGGACAGCGGAGGCTCAGTAATAGGGTCCCGTTGGTTATCATTATCACCCTAAAAACTATAGCAACTATGATCAGCAGCGCCTGATCAACCTAAAGGAAAAAACACGTGAATATTCTTCAGATCTGGAACATGAAACTACAAGGATGCTTACTGGGAGAATTGGATAAGGTGGTATGGTATTCATATTACAGCCTATATACGTCCCACTTCTGGGCTCTGGCCTCCCCTCATTTCTGAAAGGGTTTTAGAGCCATGAAGTGTCCACCGCTCCGCCCCAAAGCGTGTTGGCGGATCTTCACATGTCTTCAAAATATTTATTTTTCTTATTTCTTAGACATGCAGGTTTCTTCACGATGATTTCCTTCACCGTCGAGCACGTGGTAAATAATCACTTAAAATTGCAATTAAAAATTTCAATAGTGCCGGCGGGGATCGAACCCGGTTTGCTAGCATACTCTGAAATTTACAGCGAGCGATAACCATCTAAGCTACCACGACTCTGTATGGTATTTATGGTATAGTATCATGAAATTAGAGATAGAGAAAGAGTCGTAACGCCTAGTATGTTTAACTTCATAATTATATTTATAAAGTAATGATATCTTACTATAAAAGCTACCTCACAGCTTACTATGGCTGCAATAAAAATAGGGCAATTTGACCAGGGTAGCGAACAGAAAACCATCTTGAAATTAAAAGCAAAATATATAATAATACAGTTGTGTTTCGTATGGTGAGTGATGTGTACTTTAGTATATCTTTAGCAACTTTGACATATAGAGGAGGTTTTCGATTTTACTGTATGCTTTTTATAAAATGGGTTGTAACTTCAACGGCAGTAACATTTAATCAAATTTGTAGAAAAATCCACCACTTATGGTGGAAAAATAAGAGATGTAGTTTTGAACGTGATTATTTTGACGACATTCTAGACGTTTTAGCTGTTAGCAAAAAATTATCTACCCTAAGAAATCCACACTAGGGTGGATACTTAGAAAAACATGTTCGTTTATTCACCCTACACGGGGTGGATAATCGGAATTCACTTTTTCATTGTTGTTTCGCCTTTTTACACCGAGTACAGTTCAATACGGATAATGTATTTATACTTTTAGTTGTATATGGAAAATGTGTTCATAATTTAATACGTTATTAATAAATTTTTAATAACCACGAACTTAATCAAAAATTAAACTTCATCATTTGAAATAATAGTAATAATTTATAAATTCTGCAATATATCGAGAAAATGACCAACACTAATTTCATTATTGAGTATACGTAATTGTATATCCTTAATATATTCGTTCCTTTTAATGTACATTTGTAATCGTTTTCTAAATTTCCTTGTTACAAGAGCTTGTTGATGTGTTAGCGAAAAAATGTTTTTTAAGCAACACTAAAACTTGACTTAATTTCATTATTGAGTATACGTAATTGTATATCCTTGATAAATTCGTCCCTTTTAATGTACATTTGTAATTGTTTTCTAAATTTCTTTGTTACAAGTTGTTGATGTGTTAGCGAAAAAATGTTTTTTAAGCAACCCTAAAACTTGACTTAAATTATTGAGTATACGTAATTGTACATCCTTGATAAATTCGTCCCTTTTAATGTACATTTGTAATTGTTTTCTAAATTTCCTTGTTACAAGAGCTTGTTGATGTGTTAGCGAAAAAATGTTTTTAAGCAACCCTAAAACTTGACTTAATTTCATTATTGAGTATACGTAATTGTATATCCTTGATAAATTCGTCCCTTTTAATGTACATTTGTAATTGTTTTCTAAATTTCCTTGTTACAAGAGCTTATTGTTATGTTAGCGAAAAAATGTTTTTAAGCAACCCTAAAACTTGACTTAATTTGGATGTTAGTCACTAACTTCATTTGAAACAGTTTGATGCCAAGATTCTAATGAATTTGTAGTTCTATGAGGTACTCCGAATGAATTTCAAACAGCCACATAGTTTTCGTCCTTGAGCCATGTCTTTTCATAAGTATATCACAAATATCGTACTATCATTATTCAAAAAATATTTAACAAACAGTCAATGTTACTATAAACAGGCGAGGGAGATAACCGGAAGAAAAATACTATACGAATTCCGATCATCCACCCTAGATGGGGTTGATGAACGAACACGTGTTTCCGAGTTGATTTTTTAGGGTAGATAAACGGAATAACCTAAATTTTTAATGAAAGTGACTTTAGGACTTTCGTTATTCTTTGAAGTATGTTTTAACTTTTATTCAAAGGTTAATGTAAATTTTTACTGGTTACAATACATTACATCTAAGATCTCAAGGATGACAGCGTATCTACATTTTGATTCTTAACTGAAGAAAGATGTAGTTTTCTATAGGCTACAGCATCTACTTACTAGCAAGTGGACTTGTCTTCGTTTGACACTCTAACTTATATAAAGAGGTTCTAATGGAATATAGACATACTTTGAAGTTTTTTAAAATAATAAACAAATATTAAGTAAGGTAAAATCACTGAAATACCTTCAACTGGAGGCAGAGATTCAAAAGAGGCGCTAGTGTAGGACGTGTCCGTGTACTGGACCTCTTCAGGCGGTTGTTCAAGATCGGTTGTAGCAACCAGCGTCTCTTCCAGCACATCCGATTCTATTGTAGAAAAATTATAATACATTTAAATGTAATAATATATTGGTGGCTCGATAGTGGTTAAGCATTTGGATATGGCGATTTCGGATCGTAGGTTCGATTCCTACACAGATCAAGTGTTAGTTTGGCTTACAAATAAGTGTTTTGAGTCTAGATGTTTGTCTGTGTTCACTTTATTAATGTAAAAATTTTCCACAATATAGAAAAAGTTACTAGCTTGTTATGATTTTTTATGTTTACGCGAACACAAAACATTGTAATTTTTTTTTAAATTAGAGGGGCAAATGAGCATGCGGCTTACATGATGGTAAGTGTCGATCACTGCTCATGAACACCTGTAACACTATGGAAATTGTAGGTGCTTTACAGGCCGTTTAAAAAGAAGTAATCTCTTTTCTTGTGGGTTCCTAATTAAACTAACTTTTACGTATTTTCGCAGACCCTCTCAGAAATAAGTGGAGGCCTGTAAGTCCAGCAGCGGGAATGATATAGGCTGTAACTTTACTTTCTTTTACGTATTTTATCATGTATTTTATCTTATTTTATATTCATTTATTTAATCTTGATTGTTAACACTTAATAACTAGGGAAACAAAGGGCGGACTTAATGCTTAACAGCATTCTCTGCCAGTCGACCCGTGGAATGATGAGATTTTGTTTCATTTGCAAATACAGACATGCGTTGAATGAAACTATTATTTACGGATTTTATCGCGTTTAATTATTTTAATTTATTTTTACTATCCCGACGTTTATTCAGTTTGTAGTGTTCGCGTAAATTTAAGAAATCATTACAGACATACGTACTAAGATATACATATAATATACAAACACTTTACATGTAGTGTACGTAAATATAATTGAAAAATAAATGAACAAAATATTATTGATTATAATTGATAGATATTATATATACGTTACATATGATAATAAAGAACATATATTGAAATTGCAAATAATAAAACTTCTAAATACATTATCATAATTTTTAACGTCACCTCGTTTCGAAGAAAGTTATGTACCAACGTTTAAAAAAATTTCTTACTTGGCGCTCTTCTTACGTTTTCGGACAAGGAGTTCCAGAGTAGTGTTGCCTAAATAGTATAGGAAATGCTGGTAAACCCAGTAAAATAAGATGGAATACTCATCTTACGATTAGATGAAGAGCGAAGAACCTTATCATGAGTGGAAAATCGATACTAGAATTTATCCTTGAGATATGTTGGAGAAGTTAGATTTTGTAAAATTGAGAAAAGAACAAGTAGAATTATAGAGTTTCGTCTTTGTCGGATAGTGAGCCATTTCAGGCGTTCATGATAATGAGAGATGTGATCTTACTTTCGGAGACCAAATATATATATATATATATATATGTAATACAATAATTGAGAAGATGATCTAGCTTTTTAAGAAGATTTTGGTTCAAATCTGGGTAGCACACATCTGCATAATCAATAATGGATATCATAAGTGTTTACGCAAGTGTTATCTTAGTCTTGATTAGAACATCTTCAGCCGATATAGGAATCGTAAGATGGCAAAGACTTTGTGTGTGACATACGAACACCAGTTTATGGTATTGTACATATATATGCCAAGATTTTTTCCGGAAGAAGAGAATGGTATCAGTATATCATAGTAATAGATAGCAGGTAGGCTTGCAACATCAATTTTCGACAACATTTAATATCTACTATTGTGGCTTAACACTTTGTTGGATTTACTGATATTTCAAAATACTTATACCATTCTTTTACAGCTTCCAAATTCAAATTTAACATTCTAATGGCGTCATGGAGCTCTTCAATCGATGCAAGTAAATTTGGAGGTCGTCAGCTTACAGATGGTAAGATCAATTAAGAATAGATGTGATCAAGTTAATAAACTGAGAAAATTAATGAAGAAAGTATACCGCCTAGCGGAACGCTAGCATCAAGACTAGTCAACTGGAAACCCTTCAATCCCACATGGACAGACTGCTGATTCCCGTGAATATATGAAGAGAAACAATAGAAGACTGCTGGCACAAATTTTAAATAGGACGAGATAGATAAAAAGATATAATTGTCCGCTGCATTAAAAGTATTATAAAAGTCAAGAAGCATCATTACAGTCACTTTCTTCTTTTCTATACCATGTCTGATGGTAACTTAACTTCCGTAACTTTGAGTAATGCTGTAGTGGTCTTGTTACCGAGACGAAACCCAGACTGATAATCGCTGAGTAGTTATGTTCAAGTACAAAATTGGAGACTTACTTATGTACCCAGCCTTCCAAAACTTTGGATAGAAAGGGCAATATAGATACAGAAAAAAGATGATTAGTTAACGTGGGATTCAAAATTTTGGGAAAAGGGTGTATGAAAGCCTTTTTCCAGAGATGTGGATACTGACCTGAGTTCAGAGAAAAGTTAATAATGTAAGTGCAGGTAGTACATACTCCAGTATATTGACTACCATAGTTCTTTTTTTAATGAGATTTTCACTATAGTTATTTTTAAATGCAATATGCTATGGCAAATGAGCTTACAAATCACCTGATGGTAACTAATTACCACCGCCCATAAATAACTGCAATACCAGGGGAATTGCAGATGCATTGCCGTTATTCTAAAAATGAGTCGGCACTTTTATTGAAGGTCCCTAAGTCGTATCGGCCCGGAAAAATCTCTGGTGGTAGAAGTAGCTTCGCGAGTTTTGTCGCGATGTGCGATGGTGAAATTGTGCGGCTGAAATTAGTCCAAAAAATTCCTCACAGCACTTCCCATGGTAGATGCGATAAAATACGCGAAGAGATGTTGCATATTATATTTTATCTTATTGTAAACGGCAGAGTCGGGAAGGGACATCCTAGGCGAAAGTTTATCGACCAAATTGGCGATATATTGAAAATGATGATATTGTTACGCGCTCAAGTCGACGATACACTAGCGCCATCTAGTGTCAGGAACGAGAGCGAGGGGAGCATTGAGAAAATGACATCACAAATCACTCAACCGACAGCGCCATCCGAAGAACTAAGTTTCTAGAAAATCTACACTCGCACACTCGTCCCTTTGCGCGCATTTACTTGAATATTCCGGATGCTTCTTTGCTAATTTATATAAATAGGCGCTGCAAGATGCGATCGAGGCAGTGTTGATTTGGCGAGACGAGCGAAGCTTCAGAGCGGAATAAAGTGAATCAGTGTGATTAATTATTAGTGTTTTTAACTTTAATTAGTGTAAAGTGAATTAAAGTGTTAATTTAGGTAATTCTATCGGCAATTTTTATTGTCACGAACCTCGAGCTCGTAACAATATGTTGAGAACGGTGGCAGCACTGTGCTCTTGTTTACATCAGCTCCGTAGTTTTATTTCTATTAAAATTAAAGATTAGGTAGTTATTATTGTGGTGAACTGTTTATAAGCTAAAATATTGATGTGCAACCTTTGTGTGTGAATGTTATTTATGTGATCAGAAACTAACTTTGGACAAAATTGTGCTATGAACAATACGTAAGTGTTTTCAAAATTTACAAACTTAAAACAAAATATTGACGTCTTACTAGTAAACAATAATTGTAACAGCAATAAGAAATAACTATTTTTCTCTCTGTGATAATACTTATTTCTTATTTATATTGATATCTGTGCACTAAAGATATTTTTGTTGTTGTGAAGCAATAAAAAGATCGTTTTTTCTTACGACTTGAACTACCACCGATTGAATTGACCAATCAGCGCGTTTCTTTGTTAGACATATACATACACTCAGCGAAATCTAGCAGGCGTCGTGAGAAACTGATGTCATTACCGTTCAATCAATTAATTATTAACTAACCATGTCGTCTAAGATTAGAAGTGATACCAACAGCGGCCGCAAGAGGTCATTAAATGTTACATGCTATAAATGTAAAAGTCGTGTCGATTATAAAAGCACAATTGTGTGCACCTTATGCAAAAACTATTTTGAATTTTCTTGTGTTGGCAATCCAGAAAAGAGTAAAAAATGGCAATGCAAATCATGCGATAAAAAAATAGCTGTGCAAACTACCGAGGAGAGCAATGTGACATTGAGGAAGAAGATGTTGATACACAATATTAGCGATAATGTAATCCTACCTTCTGATACTGCCCAGGAGACCACACCAGTATCTACTCCAGCTAGCACAGAATCAGGAAAAGAAACTACAGACATTTTTTCCGATGGTCTAACTATTGATGAAACCTTGTTATCAAAAAGTATGGATTACACAATGACGGAAGTTGTCTCTATTCAGGACATGAGAGACATCATAGAACAGCTACGAATGGACCTTGCCACAACACAAAATGAACTTGAAAACATTATTCTAGACAATAACGAATTCCGTTCACAAGTGACCAATCTTATCAAAGAAAATAACACATTAAAGGCTTTTCTATCCAAAACACCACCAAAGAAAAGTAAATCAAATTGTAGCACCAAAAAGAAAATTAGAAGTTCCCCGCGATATTCAGATGTAAATATAATAGCCACACCGCCCAGGGCATTCAGTGACAACAAGACAGAGGAATTCTCTAACAGGAACATCCTAACCCTCGAGCAGAATCTTAAAGATCTCGAGCTGCAACTGAAGTCAGTCCAAAAATGAAATAGCGGACCTTAATAATCAAATCATAACCCTTCAAAAGGTAGTCCAAGCTAAAGAATTCGAAGAATCCTCGCTAATTCAGCACACGATTAATATAAACTCAGAAATTGATAAAAGTAAAAGACCCAAATTATGTATCCTAACAGCTCATCCTGCTGTACGCTGTCAGCTGTTGATGCTACGTTCAATAAACAGTTTGACTACATCCGCTATTTCTCGCCGAATAGTAATATTAAATATTTACTCCAGAATATTGATAAAAAATTGCATGGATACGATATGTGGGACTATTGTATTATTATGATAGGTGAAAGAGATTTTAGAACTACATGTGATTGTATAGAATTAGTAAAAACCATAAGGGAAGCATTACACCATATTTCTAATACTAATATAATTCTATGTGCTCCTACATACTTATGTGGATCACCAATATATAATTATAAAATAGAATTATTTAATAAATTAATGTATTTGGAATTACAAAACAATCATTATGCATACTTTTATGATTCCAATCTCTTAACTTCATTTGACATGTACTCATTTAAAACTGGGAAAATCAATAAAAAGGGAATACAACATATTTACAAAAATATACTAGATAATATAAATATCGACTATAACTACTATGGTTATACTAAAATAATCACACCTCAAAAGACCAATCCTCAAGTAGAAAGTACTAAGTTTCTTCTCGTATAGAACAGCCCGCAAAAAAAAGAATAAACGTAGTAATAAAGTACGATCTAAAAAATACTATTGTACTATCAAAATGTAAGAGGTCTACGCACAAAAACTGTTACTTTCCATAATAATATGTCTTTAATATCAAGTGATCTTGTCATCCTTACTGAAACTTTTCTCAACGATTCTGTATATGACTCTGAACTGTTCCCTCCCGAGTATATTGTGCTAAGGAAGGATCGTGCAGGTAACGTCGGATGAGGTGGTGTTCTCTTAGCAGTAAAGAATAGTTTTACCGTTAAAAAAATTACGAACATAGATGGTTTAACTGATGATAAAGAATTGTTATTTACTCTTTTAACGTTGAAAAATATTAAACTCTTAGTGTGTGTTGCATATTTACCACCTAACTACAATGACAAGCAATATCTTGATGCATTAAATTGTATAGAAAATGCCATTAACACATATTCTGACTGTAAATTCTTGATTGTTGGTGATTTCAACTTAAGGTCTTGTAATAAATCAGTTCAAACTCAGTTCCATAATTTCTTAAAATGTTGCAACTTACAGCAATGTAATAATGTTTGTAATAAATATGGATGCATCTTGGTTCTGGTATTGACTAATCTAGACTCCGGAAGCTGTACTGTGTCATTCGAAGTTGAACCATTGGTACCTATTGATGCCTATCACCCTCCGTTAGAGATCGTGCTTATACTATCAACAAGAGCTGCAATAAATATACCATTTACACCATGTCAGAACCTTTGCACAGAATGGAATTTCCGTAAAGCAGATCTCTGTGGCTTGTACACTGATATAAATGACTTGGACTGGACGGACCTAATGCACCAACAGGACGTAAATGTAGCTTTAGAGATCTTATATAATAAGCTTAATAAAGTCATTAGCAGACGAGTTCCCAATAAATCCTTAACTACCAATCATAAATATATATATCCAAAATGGTATACTAAAGAAATCATAAAATACATAAAATTGAAATATTTTAATTTAAAAATGTTTAAAAGTCGTGGCTTGGAATTTAATAAGGTGTTATTTAAATATTATAGAACCAAAGTAAAAAAACTTATTAATACATAATCTATAAATTATATGATAAAAGTTGAAAATGATATAGCACGCGAACCTTCAAATTTTTGGAAATACGTGAAAGAAAAACGAAAGAATAGACAACAGAATAAGGAATTTGTGTATAATAATAGAATTTTAGAAGGGCAGCAAGCTATTGATGCATTCGCGCAGTATTTCAGCTCAGTTTTTCAACCTGATACTCCATTGTTAAATGTAGAGGCAGCGGAACGCGATGCAATGTACGCGGACTGTGTAACCAAAGTCAGTATTAATATTATTAAAGCTTCAGATCTACGATGGGCAATACGCCGTCTTAAGGCATCGGCAGCTTGTGGCCCTGATAACATACCTTCGTTTTTAATAAAGGACTGTATGGCAGTTTTAGAGCAACCATTACTGTATGTCTACAATCTCTCACTTCAACAATGCCTCTATCCCAATGCATGGAAAGTGTCCAGGGTAACTCCTGTACCTAAAAGTGGTTCGTCCACTGATGTAACTAACTTCAGGGCTATCGCGGTGTTATCAGTATTTGTCAAGGTGTTTGAATCCATTGTAAACAATTCCATTTATAAACAAATAGGTGGGCTTCTAGATAACTGTCAACATGGATTCCGGCCGGAACGTTCTACTTTGACGAATCATATACAGTTTGTGGACTACGTGACCACTCGGGTTAAGTCAAGTTGTCAAGTCGACGCAGCCTATTTTGATTTTTTTGATAATGATTGTTTGACCTTGTTAATAATGATATCCTTTTATTGAAATTCGCAAAGCTTGGATTCTCTACACCACTTTTAAAATTTATGGCAGATTATCTTAGAGACTGAAAGCAATTTGTTAAACTAAGAGGTTATATTTCTCAAGAATATTACACACGCTCGGGTGTGAGGCAAGGTAGTACGCTCGGTCCAACTCTATTTCTAATAATGATTAACGATCTGCCCAGTAATATCTCAAGGGCAAAATGTTTAATGTTCGCTGATGATATAAAACTTTTCCATGCAATGACCGGAGCTGAGAACTGTATGGCATTACAGCGCGACATTGACGCAGTGGTTGAATGGAGTGTAAAAAACAAGTTGCCCCTTAATAATTCAAAGTGTAAGACTCTAACTTTTTCTTGGTCACGCAATCCAATCACAGCGACATACCAGCTAGCAGGCACTCCATTAGGACGTGTCTACTCAATTCGCGATCTAGGCCTAATCATGGATAGTAAATTGAATTTCCATGAACATATTATTAAAACGTGCAAAGAAGCGAATAAAAGTCTAGGTTTCATAATAAGAACTTCGCATCAGTTTAAAAATGTCCGTGTGATAAAACACCTGTATAATGCCTACGTGCGAAGTAAGCTAGAGTATAACGCCCTAGTATGGAACCCCCGAGAAATCATGTATACAATGATGGTGGAAAAAATCCAACGTAAGTTTGCCAGATATCTGTATAAACGCCAGTATGGATACTACCCATTTCTATATCCGTCAACATTTGTATCGGGCATGGTTGGTCTGGATACCCTACAGTGTAGGCGGGAACTTATGCATATAATGCATTATTATTTCTTGTTAAGTAACAAAGTAGATAATCCTGCAGTTCGTGAGACCATACATCTTTATGTACCGGACCATTATGTGCGAGGTGTTGGTAGACGTAAGCGTAGACTCCTCTCCTGTCCGCGTACGTGGCGCTCCCCACACGTAGATAACAGTCCCACTTCCAGAGCCGTTAGACTAATAAACTGTTTTTTCAGGGCCAATCCAGACGCAGATATATTTTTTGACAAACCCAGCGTAATGTATAAAAACGTATTAATATTCTTAAACAACTTTGTAAGATAGTAGAATAGTATATGTTTAGGTAAATAACTTCAATTTATGATATAGTAAATAGATCTCATTATACTGTTGTGGCTGTAATTTATATTGTGTATGGAAATTTAATAATTGGTGATTTTTATTCTTGTGTATTTTATCTTACTTATATAAATATAAGCGATTTGGTTGTATATACTGTAAGCTTATATTTTATCAATAAATGAATATGAATGAATGGGCTAAATTAGGAGAACCCTTAACCGACGAGTATGTATACGTAGGTATATGGATGTAGAGGAGGTGAGAGAGGTGTGTCAAGATCGTGTCAAATGGAAGTCTGTAGTCTCTGCATATTCCTCTGGGTGACAGGCGTGAGTGTTTATGTCTGTATGTATGAAGTCCCCTAATGTTACGAAAATTCACAGATAGCGTGGCAGGGGGCGCCTTTGTCTTATTGCTCCATTTGCCCGAGCAGGATTAGTCTGGAGCGGAATTAGATTATTAGCGAGATTAGCAGGTAGCTGGAGACCCAATTCCACCTTCCCCCCTAGAATACGTGGGGCAGCCTGAGAACCCACGCTTTAGAAGAGTAGAGTAGCTTAGGCGTGGATGCTCAGCGAGGGATTCTCCGTTACCGGTGGTGTGAGTACTTTACTGGGGTAGTGTCCCATTTAACTCCGCTACCATGTTAAGGAAGGGAGGAGGGGGAAACGGGCCTCCGGTCACATACACTCATCAGACGAAATGCAGAAGCAGAGCTTGTACTTCAAGCTTGTTTTTTGTGAGGTCGTGGTACTACCCTGGTTCGAGCCGGCTCATACGTGCAACAGCTAAGGCTGTCGCGTCGCTCTACCACTGTTAAAAGTCCTATTGACTTCATCAGAATCCACAGCCATGGATTGTGTTCCTGACTTTTCGAGTACTTAACGGTTGAGATTGAGATGTTCCACGTCCCAATGTCTCAGTTAACATTAAAACGTCGAACAACTACTAATTTCACAATTCTACCATTAGATAAATTAACTACATTTTTGGAGCGTCATATCTTAATGAAACGCGACTAAATCCGTAAACATAAGTTGGGTAGACTGGGTAGGGTTGAAACGGGGGAAGATTGAAACAAAGCGTATATCTCGACACCGTGCGTGATGAGGTTCAGGGGTATAAGGAAAGAAAGGAGCGGGAGCCAAGTCGAAACACGAATTTAAGTGTTGAGTCGCTCATCGCGCGCTGTGTTTATGTATAGGAGGCCTCATTGTGTTTTTTTAACGGTAAAGTAAGTATTTTTTGTTCATACATTTTTGCAATTATTATGGTTTTATTAAAGTTAGAATATTGAGTGTTTTGTATCGTTTAAATTGAAGTTTGTAGAATATGGCTGTATGATTAGTTTTT